CACTTACAAAATAATGTATTTCATATCATATTTATTTTACAACTTTGTTTTTATAATGTGTTTGATGTGTTTTGTATGCTCTTTGGGACACCGACTGATTCTAATCTCTGTTGTTTTCATGCTGTTTTGGTTTAGTTCAGGTAACTGAAATAGTCTTATTACTTATTTCAAGTAACGTGACTGTTAGTTGAAATAGCTCATGTTACCATTTCACTTCTGTAAGGCATTGTTTTCTTACTGTATGCAAAGGCAACTTCACAAGTTTGCAATTTTGGACAACCTATTCAATTTTACTAAAGCCAAACCAGTGCATGCAAAGTCAAATTTGGTCTGTTGTAGTATGACTGTAGGTGATGTTCGAAAAAGTTAATTTTAAGTCTTGGGTATGGCTAAGGTACGTTAATGAGAGTATTTCTTTTTTTATTGCTGTCAACTTCCAAAAAAATAGTGCTGACATACATGAAAATTAGAGTAAAATATTATGCAAGTGAAGTGTTTATACATACTTTTCTTTTGCAATATTTCCATTTGCTTGCAGTTGGTTTCAACATTCTAATGTAACTACTTGTTTTTTAATGCATTTCAGTTGGTCAATAAATGCAGTACACAAGCATATTAGAGTGGAAGGTTTTATAGGCAGAATTTTCCTATTAAGAATTGTTAACAAAATACTTGAAAATGAAATGAACTGACAACTATAATCAGAGCAGATGCATGAAGTACCATTATAGCACATCGCGCCATCAATTACGTGTCACGTAATCTGCCAAATATTAAGTGTTCTGACCTTTGCTATTAATAGAGGCAGAAACTGGGGACACGTGAAAGACAAATAACATAATGCATGGAAAATTTATTATAGATTTAGTATTGCAAATAGTTAAGGAGTCTACTTGATTTCCTGTCCCTCTTTTTCTGAACAGTAATTTTATGCAAAACTAGACATAACCATGTAGTGGAATCCCACAAGATGGAAAGCCTATTGTGGTAGAATAGGAAGTTCCTGAACTAAATAATTTATAGTGAAAGAAAATAGAATGCATATGATGGAGAAAAGTCCTTCCTCTGAAGCACTGATTTTCTGCTTTCCTCTGAAGGTAGAGAGTAGATCGTAGAATGCTTTTCCAGAAAAATCGTCACGTAATTGATCCAGGATTTTGTGTGGAGTTCACTGCAACTGATTCATCTGAAAAGCAGTGGAATGTTTACATTTGCAAGAAAGTAAATTTGGGGCCTAAAAGTTTTATAATTGCCCTTATCAAAACACTTGTTAATGTTATGTTACTTTCTGGCAATAGAACAAATGTTAGGTTTAATATTAATTTGTTTTATTTTAATCTTAAGATTACATTTGGGAATAACCAGCACAGTGTGAGTAATTGCATATCCAAACCATATTGCTTCCCAAACTTCACTAATTTGATCTCACATAAGATTGCTGAAAATAGAGCTCTTCTGATTTGTAGTATATGTTTTTTCTATTTATATTCTTTGTGCCTTAGCATAACTTCTGAAGTTTAAAGTCTGTACTATTCTGATGTTTAATAACAAAACAATATGTTGATGTTTAATGACAGTGATTTTTGTATGTGTTCTACATTAAAAGCCTATGCACAATTTAAAAAAGAGCAAAGAACTTGGATTAGAAAGTAGGGATAGAGTCAACTTAATTGTGTGAAATTAATCAAAATTTGGACAAAGCAGAAATTTATGTAGCCAAGCCAAAGCTATTATACTTAGAAAAGTAGTTTTATTCACTTCTTTAAAAAGTAAGACTCTTGCGTTAAATAATCTTTTAACAATCTGATGTATTTATTATACGCAGGAGACTCTTCTAATCAACCATAATTTAAGATCGAGCTCAATATTCATGTCAGCAATGAGGTTTGATAGTCATACAAAAGACAAATTGTGTCTACGTTCATTTAAACAGTTTGACACAGATGAGAATAATTTGCAGCACTTCAAAAATATAAAAATGCCTTTGGCACGCTTTCTGTGGCTGTACTGGGGAGAGATATGTGCGTTTTGATATGAGCATAAACCAAAAGCCAGTGTAATTCCTACTCTTTTCTCCTTATTCAGGACACTGCATACACCTTTCCTTCCCCCCCACCCCCAAAGTCTGAAGAGGTGAGAGAACAAAAGCGATTGAGTTGATTTTCTACAGCGTATTCATAATGTGATTAGAAGTCATTTTTACAGGAAAATTGCTTTGTTAAGCTAAGCACAAGATAATTTTGATGGAATAATGATGTTTCATTTTTAAAAGGCAAGTTTGTGCATTTGCTGCACCAGTTTTCCTGTGGTGTTGTCTGAAAGGCATCTTCACGCTTGGTTATAGAGTACTATTAAATGAGCACTTCAACTTGCAGGCAGTCTTCTCTACCATTTGTGTAACACAGCCCCCGGAAAATCTATGAAGAAATATGTTTGCAAACAGTACTTAGTTAACTTTGCTACCACTAATTTCTTCATGTTTTAAGCTTTGTTTAGAAACAGTTTATATGAGCATACTGAATTTGCTTTCCAGTTGAGAAAGGCATAACTGGATTTCCTGACTAAAGAGTATTTCATTAATGCATTTTTCTTCTAACAAACATAACCTCCCTTCTGCACCCTACACTGGCTTTTTGTACCGTTTCCATCTCTGGTGACTGAGTTAGTTGGTCGTGCCGCTCAGATGTTGTCTATGACTGAGGGCCTGTGTGGACTCGTGCACACAGAGCAGCAGCGTTGGAAAGCGAGGGACTGCTCTGAGTTGGCAGCTAATGTGAAGACAAGGTCCAAGGTACTGCCTGCCTGGATGGTCGGGTCAGACGAGCCCTCCTCCTGAGGCCTCCGAGGTGCTTGAGGTGCTTGAGGTTCATAGCCTGAATGTGAACAACTCCCAGGACAAAGTAAGCTGTCGTTCACTGTTGTGGTTATAAAGGCTTCTTTAGTTAAAACATTCATTTGAGTCCTTAGCACTTTGGCAATAAAATGGCTTTAAAGTCTTCATTAGCTTTGGTTTCTCTGGTTTCAGCAATCTCTCAGGTGAGGCAGACTCACAGTCTTCAATTCTCCTGGATTTGATACCTGAGGAGAAAGTGGGTGCTACGCTTGTCCCGTTTCAGCTGTCTGCAAGATCAGGAGCAGTTCTGGTGCAGATGAGCCAGCTCAGCACTTGTTTTAGTCAGATAATGCTCTATTGAAGAAAGCTAGTTTCATGCTTGTCAATGATTGAGAAAATTTATTTTCTTCTTCATAGTTTTATTAAAGTCCTGAGTTTTAATTTCTGTAACTTCGTATTTCCTGGTTTAGGCATTTTTTTTACACTACTAAAGCCTTCTCTTTCCTGGACCAGAGTGACAGTTTTGTAGTAATGTACAGAATCTACAGCCAGCTGTTAAGACAGTTCTTGCAAAGTATACTTTTATATAGGGTGTCTCATACTGCCACCTAAGGGCTGTGGAGGCTGAGAAGGTGACTAAAGGTTCTTTATATATATTTTATCTACTTACTGCCCTTTTTACTGGAGTTTGAGAAGTTAGCAATTTATGGATAAGAGGGTGAGCAGGGATTCACAGGAGTCCTTTGGAATATATGCTGTTTCAACTGGGGGTATAGATGAAGTTTCCAGGAACCTGGAGTCAATGAGAAATCAGAATGTAAATCTGGGTTACAGAAAAATGTAAACACAAGTTTTGTACAGAAGTCAACAAACAGGAAAATATGATTACAAAATTTTAGACTACTCTTGAAAAAACTTGTTAACAAGTCTAATGCTGATAGACCTTAAGAGTTTCAGTTGAAATTCCTATTGGAGTGTGCAACCCAGATTTCTTAAAGATAGAAAAGTCCCTGAATTTCTGCTAATTTAAGGCTTAGTGCTCTCTAATGAGAACTTACTCATTTATGTTTTCTCTAAAAAGGTACAGCATTGCATTTTTTTTTCTAATCTTGCTTTTATTGTTTGGACTTCTCTGTGGTTTTCTTTTCTCAACTGAGGGGAAAATGGGCAAAAAACATGCCAGTTTAAGTGTGTATGAGGCTATATGTGTAAATACTTGGGGTCGAAACATTCAAAAACTTATTACAAAACCTTTTGTATTCAGAAGAAAAATATAATTAATTTTCATAACCTGCAAAGTGTACTTGCACAGATTTACTGCTACAGCTCCTTTCTCACACACATCATGTTTTGCACTACATGCTTGATAAAGAATCAAAGCATTTCAGTATTTCTCAGTATAGAATTATGTCATCACCAACTGAAAAAATAGCAGTCTCTGTAATGACAACCCCTTTGAGGGGTTACCCTTTGAGTAAGACTTTATTTTACAGTGTATGACTTGTTTTTTAAGATAGTTTCCAACAAATCTTGTGCAACAGAAAGAGTAATTAATCTTGCATGTAACTTTTAACAGGCTCATGCAAGCAAAGACCTGGAAGAGCAGTTGCGGTCCGTGTCCAGCGTGGATGAACTCATGACAGTACTTTACCCAGAATACTGGAAAATGTTCAAATGTCAACTGAGGAAAGGAGGTTGGCAGCACAACAGGGAACACTCCAGGTTTGACACAAGATCAGATGATTCACTGAAATTTGCTGCAGCACACTATAATGCAGAGATCCTGAAAAGTAAGTATGTTCTAACACACAGTAAATTAAAATCCAAAGACTTGTTAGTTGTGTCAAAAAATTTAATAGCTAAGCATTGTCAAAAGTTTGTTTTGATATAATGTAAAATTCTTGACTATGAAACCTCCTTAATGAAGTAAGTTGTTCCACATACCTTTTTTTTTTTTGGTAATTTCATTTTGAGAGAGGGATATACTACTAAGCCATTCTTCTGCTTTGCAAAAGGCTATAGAGATTTTGCAGAAGGCAAGAGGGCACTGATGTTTGAATTCAGAACCAGTTTTGTTCTTTTCTGCAATTTAAGTCAAGGCTGGTAATGCTTTATTCCATTACATACTGCTGCTTTAAAAGTGTGAACACTGAGAGGACCATTTACAGAGATGTGCAGTAGTTCTGTAGACTTTGCTCAAGGTAAAATTTAGCCCAGATGTTGCAGCTTCAGCTGTGGATGCCGTAAGATCTGCTGATCCTTATTTAATTACATGTTAGCTCGGTTATGAGTTTTCCTCTGCTCCATGACAACATGACATATCCCTGTGAAGAGAAATTAGCTAGAAGTTAACCTAGGGTATAAATAATATAATAAAGGGTGTGACCCTACAGATGCATATTCTAGCTCTAAACTTAAAAACTCTACTAATTGACTGCAGGAGTATTATTTTTAAACAGCTGCTTTGTAACACGTGAACCTCCATATAACTTGGCAGGTATTGATACTGAATGGAGAAAAACTCAGTGCATGCCACGTGAAGTTTGCGTGGATGTGGGAAAAGAGTTTGGAGCAACTACAAACACCTTCTTTAAACCCCCATGTGTATCCATCTACAGATGTGGAGGTTGCTGCAATAGTGAAGGACTCCAGTGTATGAATATCAGCACAAATTACATCAGCAAGACAGTAAGTTCTCATTCTTATTACAATTAAGGTGGTCCTTAATGTGTATTTGATCATGCATATTTTAATCCTAATTACTGCTACTATGGGGAAGGGAAAAAATCAATTCCAGAATACATGGAAGAAACATCTGAAAAGACGACTGCCTCGAAAAATATTTAGCAGTCTCCTCCACCAATATTATGAGGATGATATAAAAAAAATAGATTATGATGTCCACTTCTGACTTTTGAAATTATTCATGAAATTTAACTTTCTCCTCTTTTTGCATCTACCATCTGTCTGCTGACTGAGGCAAGCATCCTCTAGAAAAATTGTTTATAATTTTTTTAGCAAAGACAATATTATAGCATGTGTGAACAGGATTCATGCTGGAAGCATGCGTCTATTCAGAGTCATAGATTTAGCTTTTCCTTACTTTTAGGAGCTTAATGTCTACAATTTTAAGAGACGTTAGTGCAATATAGATTTTTAGGGTTTAATTTCTCCGTGTGTGTGTATTTTACTTTTATGGTTCAGCCATAGTGATGGGATAAGGGGGCATGTGAAGATGATGCATTGAACATATCAGCCATCCTCTAAGGAAAACCATAAATGCATTAATCTGTTTTATGTAATTGTGGCAATTGCCACATCATCTGCTTTTCAAACTCTTTGCTACTCTACTTTTTCTAATACTGGTAGGCTTTTTGATGTTGGGGGGGTGGCTTTGCTTTATGTTTTGAAGTTTCCTATTTTTCATATAAATCTTTGCTTCCTTTTTCAAAAAGATTCTTCTCAGTAAGATGCAATATGTCTCCATAAGGAAGGCATGAAACTCCATGACCCACCGTAAGTTGGTAGTAAATGGGAATGTCATACCGTTATGAAGCTTAGTGCTCTAAATCTTCTTGAGAAAGGATTAAGAAATTGAGAGTATAATCAGAAGAGATAAAAATAACCTTTTTTATACATGTTACATTTGCCCCCATTCCTCACCAAACCTATCCACCTGAAATGGTATCTTCTACCAAGAGTTTTCAGTCCTGAATGTGAGCCTATACTGGATAACCATAAAGCACAGGGATAATGCAACTTAAAGAGCTTGGGTAAGGAAAGCTACTACACTGATTTTAGGCATATGTATATGTGTGTGTATGTATATATGTATATAAATTCGTAGCTACCAACAGCTGGTGAATTTTTTTTTAGTGTATTTATAAAGTTTGTCTTACCTGAATAAAGGATGCTGTAGTTACAAAGACTGTGGTAGCATGTAGCACAGATGTCCTGTTCTTTGAGGACAATGTCAGGTAGTGATAAATAATCCATATATACTCTTCTCTGTGGAACAAAGTCATTGGAGGTCTGCAAGAACAGTTTTAAACTGGTAGTGATTTTGTTTGTTTGTTTACTTTCGTAATGTCATTGGTTGAAGTAATGTCTTCACTGAAGTATTAGAGTAGTAAAAGATTGAGAAACACTGGAGAGGAAAATATTAGAGGGCTCATCAGAAAGAGAGAAGAGGTATCATTTTGTTTCCTTGCCTATTCAGCAAGAGCAAGCATTTTATCTCTGAGTTTTCTGTGTTGCTTCTGCTCTTCAGTTGTATTTGGTCCTTGGCAGAGTGCATTTTAAAAATACCTATATAAGGGAAGAGAGCTTAGTCTAGCTATATTTTTCATCTGTTATCTCAAATCTTTTTAAAGTTATGTGAACACAGCTTACCCTATTTCAAATCAACATCAGGAAGAAAAAATAATGGATTCAAGACCCTTCTGTGGAATTTACAAACTCGACACATTAACTGCTATTATCCCTTTATTTCCTGAATGAAATGAGAACAAAATGAGAACAAAGATGCCTAGTAACCAGGCATCTTTTGGTTTTTTTTTTTTTTTAAGTCCACCATAGTTTAGCTTTATTTTTCGCTTTATTTTTGTTGCATAAACTCCATAAGATACCTTGCATAAACTTCATTCTGTTCACCCTACAGAAAAAGTGCCTCCTGGGAGATGAATTTTCAGAGATAGGTCTTACTATGAAGGGAAAACCTGGCAAACACTGACACTGTTTCCAGACATTAAAATCTAAAGAAAGTTGATCTGAACTTTCATCATGATTAATTAAAATCTCCCTGGAAAAGAGCTAAGCATAGAAATTATTTTTATGAGGAACAAATAATTGATTGGCAGGAGAATGGACTAGATCAGATGTTCCCAGATTGGTTTGTGGAACACTCCGGTGGTCCAGAGAAAGGTCAGTGCTTCTCCAGTGCTGGCTGTTCTCCGCCTTTCTAGCTACTTAATTTTATTAAAATAAAAACAGAGAAGTATTTCACTTTTTGATTTTGATAGTCTTTATCCATAAGAGCCGTTCCTGTAGTTGCTAAGGGGTGTTTATACAATCATGGTTGGGAAATGAGACAATTTCCTCACTAAGATATGGCACAAGGTCTATGAAAATGAGAACCCCTAGGCTAATTTGTAGAACACAGTAGGTCTTTTCTTTCTCCTTTATCCATGACACTGTAATAGTCTAGCTTTGTAAATGATGGCTTATCTAGGAAAAGTCTGTGGAGCAGCTGACTGTTTTTGCTTGCTTGTTTGTTTTTATGTTATTAATTGAATATCAGTTTTAAGTTCCCATGATACGTGAGGGGGGCAGCCACAGTTAGGCAGCCTGGAACTACCTGGTGCAACAACTGCCTGCCCCTCAACTGTACCCTGTGCACATCCACCTAGGAGTAATTGCTTATAGGGTGAAGGGAAGCAGGGAGATGGCAGAGTCTCATCTCTTTCCATTCTTTCTCTTGGCTGGAAAGATGGACAGATTTTTGGCTCCTTGCAGATCATTTGATGTAAAGGTCCTAAATCGTCTTGTTTCATGATTAGAGTAATAGTCTCTCAAGGGAAAACATCCTTCCAAACAGTATGAAATTAGATTTAGAGGAGTTTTTCTCACAGGAAAGAAGCTAACAGCTTGAAATTGTTTGCCATATTTGAGATATACATGGTGTTCCTTTATAGAATTTGGAGATATATGTATCAGAAGAATTTTCACTCATTTTGAACTTTACCATTTATGTCTTTTCCCATGCATTTTTCTGTGATAGACTGATGAATGTAATGATATATTGATTTATCTCCTGCTAATAATAGCACTTACTATAAATTCCAACAGTTTTCTGTTAAAATTTCTGGAAAAAAAAGGGTTCATATGTTTTTTCAAAAACGTTTGACATGATTTGCTTTGAATCTAGACAGTAGTAAAATAAATAATGATAATATACCATTTTTTAAAAAAACTTACATTTATTCTTTCCAGTATAGAGTTTTTAAATCAAATAGCCTTATATGCTTAGCCTGAAAATCTCTCTAGAAACCTTCTGCTCTATTATGCTGATTATGTTTGGCCTGCTTTACTGACACTTTAGGAAGTGCAAAGATCAGAAGTCATGGAAAGTGAGAGTCAATCAATTTAAGGGAAGATGCCAAAACAAACCACAGTCCATCAGAAAAGTATAATTGTAGTTAATACAAATCTGGGGGAAAAAATCATACATAAATCTTATATTATGGATATATATGGTAAGCTTCCCTCATTTTAGAATGAAAATTAGAGTGTCGATTCATTTATATTTCAGAATTCACTGATCAGAATGGTAATTTCATAAGTGCCAGTATCCAGTGTAGCAGCAAATATAATGACAATGCTGACTAAATTAGCCACTGAAGCTAAGAAATAATTTGTATATTTATCTGAAGTTTTTCTGAAGCACTATACCATAAAAATACAAGTAAGGAAGTATGACATTAGGTCCTGTTCATCTAGAGAAAATTATCAGTACCATGACTTAAAAATACATGCCTTAAAAAGATCGGTGAGGGGGATTATATTGGAATTTTTATTTGATAGGCATTCTGATGACTTTTTTTGATGAGGCTTTGGGAGAATCTCATCTACTAGTAGAACTTAGGAGATTAAAATCATATTGAGCTCTAGGTTGTGCAACAGGCTCTGGTCCCACTCGAATTTCTGTTCTCCACTCCAGCTCTATAGGTGGCTCAAGGAAGAAGTCCACCAGTGTGGGAACTGGCACGAGCGTGCTGCATGGCGGTCTGCAGTGCCACGCAGCTCTGCTCTGGAAGCTCTTTCAAGGATTTCTGAAGAAAGACCAAGGTTAGGAGGCCGAGGGGTTGCTGCCCTTGGCATCAGTCTGTGCAGGTTGCCGGTTGTCGAAGGCCAAGTCTGCCCGGGTAGAACAACCCACAGCCCCCTTGGCCCAGCCTCCCCTTGCTGTGCCTCTCACTGGAGCAGAGCACAGAGCTTCCCGGCTCCAGTTTTCAAGGATTTGAAACATGTTTCATCTAATGAATGAACAAGGAGGAAAAATAAATCTGCTTGTAATTAAATATGTGGTTCTACAGGCAGTCTGGACATACTTTTGCTTTTTAATTAATCACAAAAGTCCATTAATTATATAGCTGTGACCCCTGAAAATAAGAAATTAATAGTCATATATTGTCAATTCTAGAATCATTCTGGGGATAATTATAACAACACTATTTAGGTCTTGTATAGAATGGCTTCATTAGTGACTCTCACCACCAATGTTATCTCCATTTTACAGAGGAGGTAAGGAGGAAATGCGTGGGCTGCCCTAGATTGCCGTGAACGCTGCCAGGGTCTGGAACTCCCTATTCTGTCTGAGAGGCACCACCGCTCTGATAGCTTTAAAGGATACAGTGATTAAATATATATATATATATATAACATTCATGATTTATTGTGGGCAGAACTCCGTAACAATGGAAGGTTAAAATTCCCCATCTGTAATGAAACTTTTGTTTTCTTGTGTTAATCACTTGATAAATTGTTGGAGGTTTTGGTGTAGGACCGTTTGGTAGCATATACCTTTTGAATCTTTATTTTAATCACAACCTTTAGGAAAGTGAAGCAGTACATTTATTTCTGTGCCCTTTAGATTTTAAGAAAACCATGACCTAACTTGTCTTGGAGAG